CCAATTTATTCTGACTTTAATTAGCATACATTTTAAAACAGAACACAAATAAAAAAATAATACAAATTGTATTTTCCGAGATATAATTTATTTTTATTTCTTGTAAATCGGGGGGAGGGGGTCTCAAACGTTGCGTAATTATTTTGGGGGAGGTCAAGCGCGCGTTATGGGTTGCGATACTGTGGGGGGGGGGCGGTATTCAAAATACTGCAAATTTGCGTAAGCGCAATTTACGGGACGGCCCCTGGACCGCGAAGCGAGCCGAGGTGGTCGGCGGCCGTGGGCGCGTGCAGCGCGTAATTGGGGCGGCGATGGTATCGCGCCGCGCGGCGGTCGCGGTTTCGCTCCGCTCCGGCTCGGCTGGTCCGCGCTGGCCCCGCGACCGCGCGCGCGGTGGCCGCGGGCGCGGGGGCGGCGCATCTCGGGTTCCGACCGCCCGCGATACGCGGCCGACGCGGGTCGCTTCCGCGCCGGCACGCGCGACCGCGACCTGCCCGCGCCCCGCTCCGCTCCAAGCCGCCCTCGCGGCCGCTCCAGTTGCGGGGACGTGCCTGGCATTCGCGACGCGCTTCCCGGACCCGGCGGCAGCCAGCACGCGCGCGCGCCCCCGACCCACGCCCATGCGCGGACGCACCCGCACAACTCCGGATTCTCAGCCACTTTCTCACGAGGCACTGTTGCACTTCTGTTCCTCACAGGATCAACTTGAGGTCTTGGCTGTGGCAGGAAGACTAGGATTCCAGTCCTCATGGTAGCAGGCTTCATAGCAAGGTGGATTTCTGTCGCTGTCTCGAGAATTTCAGCGGTCGGCTGCTCTGAATGGTAATTTTCCGTTATTTCTCTCATAACACACGCGAATGCCGGGGCATGTGCCCAACAAACGGGCCACGGACCGCTCGAAATCTTTCCTTTTCTTCCCTGTCCTATCCTCAGCACGGTACTTACATACACACTTACTTTGCACGGTATTACACGCTCGACGGGAAGAAAGCCGGGAGCATAGACCTTGTCCGGTTGGAGTCACGTGAGGATATACCAGAGGTTGGGGAAAAACCCGCTAGCCAACGTGAAGGTCGACGCCGGTCCACCAATCAGCGCGGAACATCACGTCACTCTCGCGTTAAAACATGCATTATTCTTAGTGGTCTAACATGACCTTAGTAGTTTGGCGCGCCAGGAGGACTCAATCCATCCCTTCTTATCTTTGCAAGAGAATGTCATCCTTGCTCATCAGTATCTGCGTTAAAAAAACTAGATCTGTATTGCACGGGTATCAACAATTACTTTATAAAATGATGAAGAATGTCGAGAAATAAAATATATCTACCAACGTCCACATATTAGTGCGTTTGGAATTGACTACAACACACACAGAGTACTCCTCATAGAGGAGTATGGATGTTGATCATTGCATGTAAGTACACAGATACGTACTTTACACTCATTTCTTTTTAAAATTTCTGAAAAGCATTTTTATTGCAAATGAGCTATGAACTCAGAAAAAATTTGTGGATATATTATTAAGGTGAAATAGTTATACTTGTTCACATTTTTTTGAATTTTTCGAACTTAAATGTTCTGCCAACAGGCTTCACAAGGGACCATTCAGATTTTGTTCCTTTTTCATCAGCAAACTCGTGAGCTCTCAGAATTTCGTTAAGTGTAGCTGCGAAGCAACAGTGGGTGACGATGCGGTGTTCTGTGCGGAAGAGAATGGCGTGCGCGCACGTGCGGGTTATGGAATGGCAGTGAAACTCGCGCCGCGATTCGCTTCCCCCTCACCGTCGCGTGCTGGATGGGGCGAGCGGAATGTGATTTCCTGAGGAAGGAGCGAAAATGCTAAACGCAGCGTGTGATCTACGGCCTGACTAACGGATATTCGAAATTAGTAGTTTTGTCAGACAACACAGTTTAACCATTCTGGATTTGGAAATATGAATGGGATGCTCAGTCCTTACAACATTTGTAGCAAAGCTTAAGATTCTACTGATTATAGTCTAGATTGTAAATATTTGTATTCGTTTTTGGTATAATTGATAAAAGTTTTCGATGAAAATGTTTAAGTGTTGGGACATAATATGACAGCATGTTATACATATATTTATGACAACGTCTAACAGACTTAAGTAGTATTGATTAAATAATTCAGTATTTCTAATGCATCAGTTGCAAAAAACATTGGAACTGTAATGAACGGATGTCAAAATTCTCTCCACTACCCTATTGAGAGTCTATAAGTATTTGATTATCGGAGAGGTTTTATTTGGGCGGCGTATTACGACACAGAGCGAAAAGTACCAGCAGTTTCGATGAGGGTTGACTGGAGTGCACGCTCCCGCTGCACGAGGCCTAACGTTCGCGACGGCCGGGCCTTGAGGCGACGCCTCGCCGCGAGCCCGTTCGATCGAGGGACGACGCGCGTGGGCGATGCTATCTGGGGACGTAATGATAGACGCGGCAAGCTCGCCGACAGGTTTGACACCCGCAATTAATAAGCGTCGACTACGCGTCCGCCCAGCTGGAGGAGGCGTCTAATCTGAGATCGCGCGTCGTGGCGCCGCTCCTTGAGGCGGTCCCGCGCGCTGCCCCGCCAGCCGCCCGGCGCGCCGCGGGCCGCCCAGGACCGAGCGGGCCGCCGCACGCAGTCCGCGCGTTCGTCGCCGCGTCGCACGCCGGGGTTCGCCGGTCGCACCGCGTCGAGTCGCCTGTTCGGCGCCGCGTCGCGTGCTCTGCGCCGTCGCGCTCGCGTCGCTCCACGCGTCGCTCGACGTCGCCCGCGCGCCGGTCGCCACGCGCGCTATCGCGCGCTCTCGCCGCTTCGCGTCGCCCGCGTCGCCCCACGGTCGCGCCCGCGTCTGCCGCCGCGTCGTCCGCTGTCCGATACGCGTACGCCTAGCAGACCGCGACATCGCCACGACCGACCCGACCGACCCGACCGACCACGACGACACGACCCGACCCGACGACCCGACCGACCCGACCGACCGACCGCTCGCCCCGACCGACCCGCCTCGCTGCCGCCCCGCCTCGCCGCCCGTACGCCCCGCGTGTACCAACTCGTCCGCCACAACGCCCCACCCGCTCGCACGCCCCCGTCAACGTCCCGCCTGCTGCAAAGCCGCCCTGCGATTCTCCCCCGCACCTGCGGCCTGCAACGCAACGTTTGCACGCGTGGCGAGGCGGCGGGGGGCGGCGGAGGCAGCAGGAGCGCGGCGGAGGCGGCGATGGTGGTGATTAGTAGTAGTGGTGTGGCGGCGGCGCCGGGCGGAGCGGTCAGCGCCAGGGCGGCGGGAGGTGCGGGTGGCGGCAGTCGCGGGTCCGTTTTGGAGCGAGGAGGGGGAATCTGGGTAAGAGTGAGACGTCAAGCGGCGCGAGGCGAGGCGAGGCTAGGCGAGGCGACCCACTGACGCGCGCCCACGCACGGCACGCACGCCCCGCGCCGTGGAGCGCGCGTGAATGGCAGCCGGCGCTGAGTGACGGGCGCGAGCGGCACCTCCCGCCGGGCGCGCGCTGCCTCGCTTCAGGCATTGTGTACTCTCCGCCGACTCGTCACTCGATCCTCTGCTCGGCGTGAATGGCAAGTAAATATGCGCATTCAGAATGCTGCTCCGTACTCTTATGTTTTCGATGAATGATTATCTTACATTTTTTCCTTTACAACTCTAAATATGTTATCTGGATTATCTGGTGCTACGTATTTATGCAACTTATATACTGCATGTTATTCATATTTCATTTATTTTGTTTCTCTCCATTAAAAAATCTTAATTGCATTTCGGCAGATTTCATGTTTTGTAATACCAACACTGGCCACTCAGAGTAGCTCACTCGTCAGCTGCTCGCCTTCCATGACGTGATCCCGGGTAGGATTCCCGGTCGGGGCAGATAATAGTGTGCACTTTTCTTGTAATGCCCTGTAATATCTGTTGCTGTGACGATGAGAAAGTTCACTTCGTACGTTAAGAAGACCTGAATACGGCGTAGGGGATGTAGCCTATATGTGCTAACCACAATTGCAATAAATGAATTCAATGTACTATAACGCTATATTTGAAGGTAATAATCGAGTGTAATATTTGAAGAAAGTTGTTATTTCTGTCCCGGTTTCCTTTAGTAGCTCATATTAGGATTTATAAACTGAAAGGTTGCTCAGAAGCTTCATAAATTTTGCAACAAGTTCGCTGTAAGAACCAAGTCGCGCGATTTCCTTTGACGAACGATTTCGGGAGTTTTAGCGAACGCACGCAAACAGCGGCTTCTGGGGGGGGCAGAGGCGCTGTGCATATGACCGCGTTCTCAAAAACTCCCGAAATCATTCGTCGATAGGTGTATAAATACGGTCTAATCAGGATTTAAAAGGAACAAATAGTATATTACGCAAGTGGTTTATAATGTTAAGATTTATTGCATGAGTACATGTTTTGAAATCAAACAACGTTAGAAGGAGTTTTCAAACTCGAATTCAATAAAGCTTAACATTATAAAGACAAGTTAGTTGTAAGTAGTCTGTTTAAGTTAATAGCTCCACCTCCGTTACAATAACCAAATCAGCTGTAGCGAAATATGTGAAGCCACTTAAATGAATAAATTTCCGCCTCTTCAGGGGTGCTGGAGAGGGGAAATATGAAGATGGAAAAACCTTATCAACGAGTTGTATTCGTTTTGTGTGTGTGTATGTGTAACAGCATTATAAATTTATAAGAGAACCAAAGGTTTTTGGGAAAACTTTATTGTGACGTCAAGGGTATATGACATCTGTGGTAAAAAACGAGGTTTGGCTGTTCAGTTTACCGTTACCTCTCCACGATTCTCTCGTTGCGATTGTCTGAATGTGTTACGATGCAATTATTCGTGTCACAAACGGCAATCACGCCATAATTTGTGCCCTGTCATCTAAGATGGATCGGGAAAGGTCGTTTATAATGCTGGAATAGCAAAGACGTCTGTTGCATCTGACCAAAGTTCCAGTCAAGTGCTGTAGCATGTTGTGTTGTGCGCAGGAGGACCTGCTGATCCACGGGGACTCGGTGTACGACATCATCGACAAGCAGGACCACCAGGCCATCCAGGCGGAGCTGGTGCGCGCGCCCCCGGCCGGCGCCGCCGACGACGACCGCCTCTTCCTCTGCCGCATGAACGTCTCCCGCAACGCGCGCCGCCAGATGCGCTTCGGCGACCAGAAGGTACCTCACCCCCGCAAGTAGCGCGCACACGCCTCCGCAAGAGCCAACAGAGTACTCTCTCATACACTGCGATAAATTAAGTAGTGTATTAGTAAAATCAGACTTCACAAACAGCACTATAGCAGAGTATTGGATCAGGCGCGGATCCACGGCGAAAGAAATGAGAGTAATTCTCCCCTCCCCCCTAAAAAAACTCAGTAATTATTTATTTTAACTTACCACGAAAATTCCAAGCTTTCAAGTTTGTCGCGCTACTTTAGGATATTCAGTAAACCGAATAAAATCGTATGGTAGCGTGAGCTGAGATTAGCCTGCTGCGTGCCCAAATCTTCCGATATATATATATATATCTATTTAACTAATGTATAGTTATATAATAGATTTATTAGATTATATAAAAATTCATAATTTTATACATTACAAATTTTCGTACCACTCCACCAACGTTTGTGGATCCGCCCCTGATAATATGTAGTATTCATTTCTATTGCTAATATTTGATGGCGTGCGGCTTCTTCCATCAAGCTTTGCAGTTATATGACGTCATCTTCCTCTTTGAAAATGCTGTCAGATTATAGAAAACTGACTGTAATACAAGTTCCAAAATCACAACACTATCCTTCTCAGGGAAACTAGTCGAATTAGCTTTAATTTCTATGAATATATTCATTGTAAAATTATGGGACAAAGACTCGTTTGCATTGAAGAAATAACGTTATAGTTTCGAGTCATAATGTTAATAACGATACACGCTAAATGAACATTCCACAACTTCAGATTAAATACCACTTGTTGAAATTGATAAAAACGCCTGCTATGAATTATTTCCCGATATTTTTTCAGTTGGAATTTCATTCCCTTATCGCAATGTAAGGATATGACTTTGTTTATTAGACTGTAATGAGGTGCGGAATATCGGAACAACTGAGAAGCAATTAAAACAAAATGTCAAGGAGATCTTGTTCGGCATTAATGTATTCCCACACTTCAATTAAATATTTCACTATCACGACGTCTGAGAACGTATTGAAAGCAGAAACATTATATTGAAATCATATATTGCACTGCTTGAATATTAACTTCTTTATTAGTAAGCGCATATCAAGTTATCGAGTGTGTAATTTTATTACTTAAGGAGTGGTATTTGAATACATGTTGAGACCAGTGCTTCTATTTCAAAG